TTTTGTGCTATGGCTTTATGGCCTTGATATCTTCCTTGAATCGTCCTTTTCTTACGTTCTACGTTTAGATTATGAAAGATACGCTATAAAATGCTTTTGTACCGCATTTCTTCGAGATTTTTTTCCAAAAACATAAATGAGTCTGAAAAGTTGTTTCTTAAAATAGGCGATGTACGGGTACCCATTCGTCATGCTAATCGTCCAGAGTTAGTTCCTGTATATAAAAAAAGTTTGTTAAATTTGAGTTACGAATTAATTCTTATTATTGAAGAAGATCTTATATCTAGTCAGTCTTCTCTTAGTCATTTGAAATGGTTGTTGCAAAAAGATCATCTTAAACAGGATGTGTTTTTGTTGGGAGTTCCGGGATCTATTAGGTCATCAATCGTCCTCCAATATTTAGTGAGACGAAATCGGCTTACTTTAACTGAAATATTTTTAAGGCAGCGAGTAATCGAGAGTATGAGTATCTCACTATTACGAGAGACACAACCGAAGCAGATATAAAGCAGAGACGAGAAATCAGGAGTGGGCGAGCATTCTACACCGATCTATGTGCAGTACGAGCTGCACTGAACGGTCGTGTTCTGGTTATTGATGGTGTTGAGAAAGCTGAGAGGAACGTTCTGCCTATACTCAACAATTTACTAGAAAATAGGTAACCATTCAGACGAAAAGACTTACTCACTAGATATATTGCAGGGAAATGCAATTGGATGACGGTCGATTCTTGATGCATCATGAAAAGTATGATGAGCTCAGCCAGGTGAATTGAGGAAGTATTTTATCTTCAAAGAAAACATTTCAGAAATACTCTGCCGAAGAACTTGTCAAAATGGGTTTAGAACGGGTTTCTCCTGACTTTCATGTAATAGCGTTAGGGTTGCCAGTTCCCAGGTTTGCCGGGCATACTTTGGACCCTCCACTGCGTTCACGGTTTCAGTGCCGACATGTTCTTCCCTTACCTTTTGAGGTTTGATACATCAAAAACACAGTCTAAATGAACTATAATAGGATGTGCTCGAGCGGTGCAAAAAAATCGCTCCAAACGTTGCTTCTTCAGCTGTTAATGATATAGTGGCTGTTGCTTATGCACTCAACTCTCAAGAAGAGCTCAAATTGCCACTGATATCTGTAGATAATTTAGAACAAGCTATTAGGACTTGGGTATTATGTTATTTAGAAACTGTGCTTAATTTTTTCTAGAATCTTAATCCTTTGTTGTCTTCTGAAGAAGTGATCCGTATGCTATATCCGTTTGAAAGCGTTTTAAGAGATACTGACATCAACCTAGCTAGAGAGTTTTTGAAAAAGTTCGAAATAGACGTACGTAGTATCAAATTATTGCTTCTTGCCATTTTCTTCTTGCAGCAAGGTAAAAGCCTCAACTATGAAATCAAGAGCGTGAAAGCTGATAATAATGTACGGGATGTTACTTTGTCTGCTGACGACGTCTCTTTCAAGGTAATGTACTTCGAGAACCACCGTTTCATTCTCAGTTCGAGAATATATGAAATTTCTCAAACTGAATTGATTGTAATTCTATGCTTTCAAAATTAAGCTGGAATATATACATATTAACTATTTCAGACAACTGGGACAGGTCTAAAACCAGCTGGTTGCTCTACAGATTTTGTACCCACTAAAGGACAGGAAAAACTTCTGGCTGATTTGGCAGCGGCTCACGCGGTTGGAGATTTTGCGATAATCGGTATGATACATTGATGATATAGTTTACAACTTCTTTTAGGTCCAAAAGGCTCTGGAAAGACGATGGTTCTCAATGAACTCTCTAGACGCCTTGGGTTTCTAACCGAGTCCATGGTTCTCTATCAAGTAAATTCGATTTCATCAGAAAAATTCTAATGTTTTTTGTATAGGATATGAACAGTAGAGAGCTTATTCAACGTAGAAGAATGCTTCAAGAGGGCGACACTGTATGGGAAGACAGTCAACTAGTGACTGCTGCTAAAAATGGGCATGTGTGCGTTTTGGATGGAGCTGAACGTGTTCATGGCAGTGCTTTGGACTCTCTTTCCTCTTTGATTCATCATCGGTTGCTCGACCTGCCGAACGGTAATCGTTTAATCGGAGAAGAAGCATATGAGGAGTTGATGGCGACTACTGGACAATCGAAAGATCAACTTGAAGAGAGGTTCTGAATGTTACTGATGACACTTTAAACTATATTTGACTTAATACAGAGGAGTTTATCGTATTCCATCATCGTTTCGGCTTGTTCTCATAGGGGATTCCGAAACATCAGAGAATCATTGGATTAACGATGCAGTCCTCTCTCTCGTCCCATTTTTCAAGCATGAGCCACTTTCCGCTGAGGATCAAGAGAGAGTAATTAATGAGTAAGTATCTTTCTCATTTCATATAAAAAAAGCACGTGTTTGTATAGATTAGTGAAGGATGCCAAGAAAAATACAACATCCAAGTTGGTCAAGATGGTAGAAGATCTGAGACAGTCTCATGACGCTGGGGTATCTCTTTAATTATCCTTCTTTCATTGACAGTATTACAGCTTCGAGGCGTTGCTACTTCGCTATCCTTCCGTAAACTGATTCATATTGCTCGTCGAGATGCACTTCATGATGGTGAGCTCAAATCTTTGGTAGAAAAAGGAGCACTGTCTAGGTGATACGGTCCCACTACCTTATTGAATAGCTATAGTTTTACAGATTCCTACCTTCAATTACCAAAACTGCTTTTATAAACTCACTTGAAAAGTTGGACGTTTCAGATTCAAGCCTTGATACCAAACGTACGAACGTTTTTCAAAATATTTATAGGGGTATTCAACTATTGCAGACGGATCTCTGGATCAAGACATTCAAACTTTGAGAAGGGATTCTCATGTAAAACCAGAAGATGAAGCTTTGGTACCAAATGTCTTGTTTTATGACAATGAGCAGGTGTCATTTTACAAGTTCTCCTTAATCTAACTTTGCTACTTAGCACGTTAATATCATGAGAGATATGGCTAGAGATTTCCAACTGGGATCTCATCTTTTACTCATTGGAAATCAAGGTGTTGGGAAAAATAAGGTGACAGATCGGTTCCTGAATCTTATAAATAGACCACGTCTCTACATACAGCTGCATCGGTTCGTTGTTTATGTTTAAAGCTGAATTTTCGTTGTACTTTTTAGCGACACGACTGTAGAATCTCTTACTATACAGTGCACTGTAGAACAAGGCGTTGTGAAGTATGAAGACTCTGCTTTAGTAAAAGCAGCCCGAGCTGGTCATGTACTAGTAGTCGATGAAGCTGATAAAGCTCCACTTCATGTGATTGCTGTACTGAAAAGTTTGTTGGACACAGGAACATTAGTATTAGGGGACGGAAGAAAACTCCAACCATCTAGTCTTCCACAAAATGATAGAACTATCCCACTAGATCCCGAATTCAGAATGATAATGCTAGCGAATCGTCCAGGGTTTCCATTTTTGGGTATAGTACAACTTTTCGATTTCGCTTGCATGATTAATGTTGTAGGTAATGATTTGTTTGGCGTTCTTGGCGATCTCTTCTCAGTTCATACAGTCGATAATCCTAGCAGATCGAGTGAAATTGTCATGCTCAGGAAGTACGGGCCAAGTACGTTATACTTATCCCCAGATTGGTTCATAAGATGTTTTCAGATGTTCCTGAGCCCACATTGAACAATTTAGTCTCGGCATTCTCTGAATTACGAGATATGGCAGATGATGGTTTACTACAGTATCCTTATTCAACTCGAGAGTTGACCAATATAGTAAAGCATGTCAATGTATTTTTCTAATTTTCTGTGAGTAATAATATTGATATCATATTAAGGCATTCCCTAATGATCCGCTCACGTCAGTTGTGAAAAATGTTTTGGACTTTGATGAGTATTCCTCAGATGCCATGAAGACTATTGAAGAAGCTTTCCGAAAACATGGGATTCCTTTGGGTTAGAGCATATTCTGTTATCTCAAATGTTATAGTAAATAATAGAACCCACGTTTCTTGTGAAGTTTTTTATTAAGCGGATTATCCCTTCCTATTCCTTTTTTACAATCTTCCTTTATAGGAATCGAACGTCCATACGACCGTATTTTCTTATCCGAGCGTTTTGAAATTCCTTCTTTCACTCCAATTGGACAATGGGGAGTTCGAAACAATGTGAAGCCTATCGAACTTAATATCAAGCGATCGAAACTTACTTCAACTGTCAGGCTTTCGTCACTATATATACCTTATGATGTGTTTTTTAGAAAGCCACTGCTCTCACCGGGATAATGGTTGAGCTGGAGAAAGAAAACAAACGAATGGATCAGTTCTCAGAGCAGGTAAAAAGATACATGTAAATCTTTTGATTTCACAAGTTTTTGCAGATATGTTCTTGGCAAATTCCGACAATGAATATTAATATATGTTCTGATGGGATCTTTATCGACAATAAGCTGGTTATCAGTGCTGTGAATCCTGGAAGATTGTATGTTATTGATGATCTCGAAAACACAAGTCAAGTAAGCATTATAAAGTTTTGTAAGAATGGTGTATCGGTTAAGGTCGAAGAATTTAATATTTCTACATTCATTCCGAAAGGTCCTCGAGCCAAATATCAACCAAGAATTCGCTTGTCTTCTTTGGGTGATAACAACCGTGTTGTTATTCATGAGGAGGTTGCGGATAAAGTAATGATATTTCACACGAAATCCGGTCTATTGGAAACTGTCGATTTTTCCGAAAAAATCATGGACAAACTGGAGAACCGTAATTTTAATTAAGCTCGTGATCATAAATGTGCATCATAGTTCTAGCAGCAGATGAGAAATGGAGAATGGTTTCCGGCGAGAAGCCATTGTTTTTTGAACGATCTGGTAAACAAATACGAGTAATATCCGGGGATGAAGTGCTGAAGTTCGAAGTTGAGAAGGAATTGAATTCAGTCTTGCCAGTTACTACAGATAAATGGCTTCTGAAGTATAAGGTAGGAGTTCATCATATTCAGAGATGTATGTCTTTGTATTAAGGAGAACACAATTGATCTTCTTTGTATCGAAAACGGTAAATGGAGAATACGTGCGATTGAGTCGGACCTAGACATTTTCGAGAAGCTAAACACTATCCGTGTTACGGAAACTGAAGCGTACTTACAAGCGGATGGCTTTTATTCCCTGAAAAGCCAAGGATTTCCGTTGCTATTGGTCAGTGTACTGTTGATATGTTAAGGCCTACATACTGTTTAGAGTTCAACTAGTGTGGAGGCAGCATCTAGAAAAGAATTAAATGAAGTGATTGACTCCAGGAGACCATATTATTTGTCCGATGCAGTTACGAAAACTCATCTTGATCCAAATAGAAACATGTTGCTCTTAGATGGAGGGGTTGTTGTATCAACACAACCAAATTGGGAAGTCCCCAAAAATGCCATTCAGAAAGGTGCTATCTGAAAATTTTTTCATTTCAATGAAGTTACTTCTGCATCTAGATATCTCAGTCAATCGGTTAGGCGGATTTCTCGAAGCAGTAGACACAAAATCCGGTGTAGTTCAGTACGTACCTGTACCAGAACCGAAATTCACCAATTATCACGGGTTATTCATTTCTGTAGTTTACGCCTTACTTCTGAGTGTTCCAGATCCTGGCTAGCATCTTTATCGAAGACACCCTTTCAAATTGTACCTTGGAAAGAAAACAAATTTATCACGTTGGATAACAGTGGTGGCATACGATCATATGAACTCTCTCCTTCCTCGCTGGGAAAATCTTTAAATTCATGGCGACAAATGATTGGAGGTATGCTTAATGAAAACCATAATTGCTTCACTCATTTATCAGAGAAAGAAGGTCCGTTGCGGATGGAAATTGATAGAGGCATGAGTGACTTCGACTTTTCTAAACTGGATGAACCTAAGCTTGGCAAATTCGATCCTGATAATACACCCCATGTTGGTGGAAATCAATGGATGGGAGGAACTGGAGGATATAACACAGCTGGATTGGGAGGAGTAGGAGGACCATTCAGGTTGTTCAATTTTGCTTTGGTTCTGAATTGAGAACTTAGGTTGGATTCGGGGCATGATGTACATCAAATGCCAGAGTTTGCCAAGCAGCAAGTACCAGAACATCTGCTCCAAAAAGCTAGAGAAATAGCTAAAGCGGAATATGCCAAAAAGCTCAAAGAGATCAAAATGTCTGAGTACGATGCAGAATCTTATAACAAACTTTGGAATCGCATTGACAAACAAGCGATTCGTTTAAAAGGCATCATAGACCAATTAGAAGTTAGTAAAATCAAAGTTCTTCTGCAAATAATCTCTTTGCAGGCTAAGAAGAAGGAAAGGCAGTGGGCTCGACACCAGACTAGTGGAGATTTTGATGATTCCAAAATTATTGAAGGAATAACGGGTGAAAAAAATGTCTACAGGTATGAGAGACTGAAACTCAGCATAATATACGGAAGAGTGTTTTAAATTCATTATACAGGAGACGTATTGAGAAAATGCCTGAACCAGGCGCCCCTCAACAAAACCCAAAATACATGAAGATAGTTTTCGATGTATCTGGATCGATGTACAGGTTCAACGGATACGATTCACGCTTACAACGTTCATTGGAAGCAGCTCTCATGGTGATGACTTCATTGGAAGGGAAAGAACATAAAATAAAGGTTTGTATCTTCCTGTTCATTTGATGAATACGTTCTAGTATGATATCACTGGACATTCTGGAGACACTCCGTGCATCAATTTCGTTCTCAATGGTAATTATCCTAAAAACAACAAGGAAAGACTGGATATTTTGAAACAAATGCTTGCTCATACTCAGGTTGAACCACGAATGAACGACCTATATCATTTTTTCAAAATTCAGTATTGTTCAAGTGGTGATTTCACAACAGAGGCTCTAGATGTAGCCATCAAAGAGCTTAGCAAAGAAATGGACTGCGATGAAAAGATTGTCGTTTTAGTATCTGATGCCAACTTGGAAAGATATGGTGAGGAGGCAAATCAAGAGTTTCCTGATTCCATACATTGCAGGTATTCGGCCTAAGCATATCTCGGACATTATGAATAAAACTGACGAAGTCAATAGCTTTGTTATTTTCATTGGTTCATTGGGAGAGCAAGCGGAGATGTGAGTCTCACTATGTACTTCTTCTATACTATAGCATATGATTATAGACTTCAGAAAGCCCTTCCTCCTGGAAAAGCTTTTGTGTGCAAGAATACATCAGAACTCCCTCAAATAATGCAGAATATTTTCGCATCCACCCTGATATAGTTTTAGTGCAACTTGTTAGTCATTATCATGTGATGAATAAAATATATCAAAGTATTGCGATTTTGAGATTATAATGAGTTCTATACCAGTTTAATCATTTATTTGATGATTTTTTGAACTTTAAGTATTTTAATTAGTAAGCTGAAGTTGAAACGGCAGGTTTGTCGTTGCGTTGCAGTTGCACATACGAACTCAACTTTTCGGAACCTGAAGATCCGTTTAAGAGACTATAGGATGTTCTCTTCTGTTTCAAGTCTTAAACGGATCTATTGCGACGTACCGAATCTCGTACATCGCCTATTTTAAGAAACAACTTTTCAGAGTCATTTATGTTTTTGGAAAAAAATCTCGAAGAAATGCGGTACAAAAACATTTTATAGCGTATCTTTCATAATCTAAACGTAGAACGTAAGAAAAGGACGATTCAA